AGAATAACTAACTTATAGCTTGCTTATAACTAGCCTTGAAATTTCGTTAAACACTATCGAATGCACTGCTTGTGGATGCGGTTGATTCCCATTTGAACAGACTAATTACTGAATGACGGCTGCGACGATAACCTAAATAATCTGACTTACACGTGTCAACATTTATGCCGTAGCAGAAAAGTAGATTTCCTAAGTGTAAAGCAGCAAATAGCGCAGAGCGAAAGTCGTTCTAGATCTATTGCTATAGCAAGGCCGCTTCAGCAGCGATTTGCATGAATTAGCTGGAATAATAATTTTCTGACTTTCCACCTACGGAGTTGAAAACCGCTGAACCTCTTCGTTACATCCTAGAGAGGTTGCCATCATTTTTCACGGAGACAGACATGTTTTCGTTCGCGAGCGTCAGTAGAATTTTTTTCAGGGATAAAATGATTAAAATATAGGCTGTTTAGATGTCAACAAAATTTTATTTGTGGATCATAGTACATGTTTTGTCCGAACGGAAAATTTGTTTAGGAGAGCTGGGCCTTTCCCTGTTTCATCTCCAGACGCCTGTGCATATCTTCGTTGGTAGTGCAGTTTACTATGGAAGAGGTGCCAAGGCAACTCAAAGCCTGGAATTACTCGACTTCGCATGCAGAAGTGCGGATTTGAATATAAACGTGGCGTAAATCTTTCTTATTGACTGCTAGTTCCACTGATTAAGGATTTCATCCTGTCATAATTCGGACAATCAGTCGATAAACGAGCATTCTAGTCGATGATCTGCAAATAATAAGTAAGCGTGATGGTCGGTTTTGTACTGCTTCCTGATATGAGCTGTTTACGGCAATACTCTGGTCCAGGTTTGCTGAAATCGGCAGGTTTACTGAAATCGACACCAAGTGTAGCCCACGGAGCAGGTGCCTTGGACTGCGCACACGTACATGTCATCCTTCGCTCAAACAGAGCGGAAGATAAAGTACAGTATGTGATAACGAAAGAGGAAGCAAAAAAAGATGCTAGCGAAGGAATGACAAAAGCGTGCAATAGCTCATACAAAAAGCTGCAGTGGAGAAAGATATCTATCATGTAGCAAAAGACAGAGAAAGAAGAACAGGAGATGTCCCTAAACTTAAGTACATAAAAAAAGAAAACAGAAAGATTCTGACGGGGGATTCGCAACCGATGGCGAGTACACTTTCAAGCGCTGTTCAACGAAGAATATTTCAGAGAAGCTCCGGAAAGGATCCCACAAAACTAGGAATGAATCGATGCTACATGCAGATGACGTTGTACCGCGCAGTGGAAGCAGAGGAACGGTAGAAACAAAACCCGAGGCTGGAGAACAGTCCCTGAGAAGAGCGGTCTTTGCATCAGATAAGGAAATTTGAATATATAGTGGGGTATTTCAGTGGAGAGAACAGAGTGAAAACTAACTAAAATCAGTAAAGGTAGCAGGAAGCAAGCCGCAAAAATCCAAAAATTCAGGTACCTAGGATTTATTCAGCAAAACAATGAGAAATCGACACTGAGCTAAGAAATTGGTTGAAAAAAGAGTGGCTCAAATGAAGAGAAGTGATCAGCGTACTGTGCGTTAAGCAGATACCCATTAAACTAAGCGGTAAGGCGTAAAGGACGATAGTAAGAATGGTACTTCTGTACGGAGCGATGTGCTTGGCTACCCTGAAGGGACAAGAGCAGCAGCTGAACTCGACAGAAACGCGAATGTCCTCAGATGTATGTGTGGTGTCAGCAAAAAGGACCAAATCTGGAACACCTTTATAAGAGGCATTTTAGGAAAAGCACATATTTCAGAGAAGCTAATCGTAAGCAGGTTCCATTAGTCAAGTCAGTCAAAAGAAGATCGGACATACACCTTGACAATGTGTTTCAAGCACTGATACCGCTGGGGAAGAAAAGAAAAGGCAAACAAAGAAGAAATGGCACGATGTTGTGAAAAATGATATGAAACTAGGAAGAGTGATCGAAGAGTTGACCAATGGCCAAAAATACGGAGGCAGTTGACACTAGCAGCTGAACTAGGTTAAAGAGAACAGGCTTGAAAAAAGAGGTTCATCATTCGCTCAAAGTGCAAACAGCGCAATAAAAAATTCCCTCGAGTCTAACACGCGTGCTTTCAGATTTAAGCCCAAGTGATGATTCCAAATCCGTCTGTCAAAGCTTATAATCAGCTGGTTTCTCTACGCAGCAACTCTCATATAAATTCTTGAAAAAATCTGCCGGATCAATATTTAAAATAGCCCGTCAGTCATTCTTCATATGGTTTGGATGGCTATCCCCAAGCGAACTTCGCTCTGGCATGCTAGCCATGGCATGCACTCTACGTCGTCGTTCCGAGGTTGCATATACAAAGAAAGTATCGCAAATAATTTAAGTTTAATTAAATAAAATTTACTACATTAATATAACAATATTAACGCTTTCCAGATATTCAAATTAAGCATAATATTGCATAACGCCACTGAATTCAATTTCAAGGAGACATTTACCTATGAATTAAATATGACGTTAGTTTTTCGTATACGGCTAGAAATAAATTTTTGCATTTTAATCAGGGCCTGAATCCTTTTTCCAGACAATAAGCTCTAATTTTAATAACAGAATAAAATGCATGCGTCACGTAAAAGATCAAAGCATGTCATGAA